TGATGATGATGATGATGATGATGATGATGATGATGATGATGATGATGATGATGATGATGATGATGATGATGATGATGATGATGATGATGATGATGATGATGATGATGATGATGATGATGATGATGATGATGATGATGATGATGATGATGATGATGATGATGATGATGATGATGATGATGATGATGATGCTCAGGTGGAGGAGGTGATGATGACAATGATATTAATGATGATGATGGTTATTTTATTTTATTTTTTTTATTTTATTTTTTTTTTTCAGGAGGACACGGATGCTGACGGCTACATCTCCAGCCTTCAGGTTGTTCTTGGTCTTAAGAACGTCGTTCCCCCGGAGCTTCTTTCAGAGGAAGAAGAGATCTACGTCTATAGGGTCAGGGTCCACACACACACACACACACACACTCTCTCTCTCTCAAACACACACTCTTGCACCACAGACATCCACCATCATCAAATCCCTTTCAGATCCTGGAGATGGTGGACTTCAGGGTGACAGATGGACTCGTGGACCTCAGGCTCTTCTCTGTGATCGCCAGTCTGGCACAGAAGATCGCCACCATGGAGTAAGTGTACACACACACACACACACACACACACACACACACACACACACTTTTCAGTGAAGCTACTATACTGAGGAGTCACTGACCTGCCATAAAACCAGAATAAGAGTGTGTCACAACTTTGTTCCAGCGAGTTTTGTCATCGTGTGTGGGTTTTTCTGTTTGATCCTCAGGTTCGTCTGCCTTTAAACATTTTTATGGGACATTAGAGGTCAAAAGGTTAAAGTCAGAGGCACTACATTCTGACATGAATCAGTGGAGTTATTTATCGATATCGTTTCCTGATCAATAAGTTACGCCACATCAGGTTTAAATCCATGGAAAATATATATTTTAAATTAAATTAAATATTTTATGGTGAAATTGCCCTTTAATCCTGAAATCTGCCTCATGAAGTCATTTTGGGTTTGACCAGAGCTGACACTGATGTGGTCATTTTAGTGATTTTTTTTCTGTAAATAATTTGACTTTTCATCCTTGATTAAAGAAACGGGAGAACTAGTCTGAGTCAAAAAGTTTCAAGAAAAATAAAAAATGATAAGAATAATGCTGTTAATATGAACAGGAGGAGCAGACACTGACATACAACGAGTGAAATTTGAACCTTTTTTTTTCCTTGAAAATATTCAAACAATTTGTCTGTAAAATAATTTTCATTTTTTTGTATTTTATTATACGTGATGAAGAGTAGCTATATATTATACGTATTTGAGGATTTTCTCAGGTCTTAAACTGAACTTGATTCAAACCTTGGCTCTGACTTGAACTCCTCCTCTTCCTCCTGCCGTCTCCCTCCATCACAGATTCCCACACACAGCGTATCATTTTTTCCTTATTAGATCTGCCCTGGGGTTTATAGCCCACTACAGACAGCAGTGTGTGTGTGTGTGTGTGTGTTGGAGCCAGTGCTTCTGTGAGGGTCCCAGAGGGTCAAGTCCTGCTCCAAAGTCCTGCTCCGTGGACTGAGAGCCTCCTCTGAGCGAGGACAGGAGCGGGGTCAGAGGTCCTGTGATTTACGGTCGTCTCTTTGTGTCCCCTGTTGGAGGAGGACTGAGGACTGAAGGTCTGGAGGTCCATTTCAGACCTTGTCTTTATTTTCTCAGAACTTGTCTGGAGACATTTTACTCATACGAGAGGAGGAGATCAGTTCATGGCACAGACCCCAGAAAACAAGGAGAAAACAATGGCTTCCTTCGTCCGCCTCATCCTGACTGAACAGAACTGATCTGATCTGATCTGATCCTCTTACCTGGTTCACTTAATCCTGCTGTCCCTCTAATCTGAGATTAGACACGAGATAAAACAGCAGTACATAATCAGACCATGCGATCAGGATCGCAGATTTAGGAATTAGAGATAGCATTAAATGCATTTATTTTTAACGTACTATTACTCATTACTTACAGTATACAGTAGTTATTACTAAACAATTAATTGTTTGTAAAATGTTGTAATTTACCTTTAAAAATGTGTCTCTAGGTAAACTTTGAATTAGCCGTTGTTGCTCATTTAACAACTAAATCACAGCTATTATTAATATTTTTGGCAACTTTTAGCAACTTTATTTAAGTGCTAATTCTTTTCATTTCTCTGCTAGCCTTGAGCTAATTTAGGTCAAATGTTTTTCACAAACATTTTATTATTTCTGGGCTTTTTTCTGCTCATCTCACAACTTATTTTTATTATATTTTTGCAGCAAGTGCTGTAAAAATCTGCAGTCTGGACAGACTTTTGGACCTAACGTTTCCAAACTAATTGTCCCCCGTCCTCTTAAACTTCCCTCTAAAATTCCTACTTTTGCTCTCCGTATTTCTACCGTTGTCTCCTCCTTCTCCGCCCCATGGTTCGGCCCGTGACTCAGCCCCTCTCCTCCCCACACAGCGCCACGGGCCAAGTCATGTGACCTGCCGAGAAGTGCATATCTATACAGGATTCCCAGACCAAATCAGTAGTCGGCGTCATTGTTAGGACGAGACGGGAGCTCCTCACAGCTCATGTGTGCAAACATGCATGGACTGAATGTCTCTTTGTCCCTGTGGGTTAATACGGCTGAGTCGTACAGCAGTATCAGAAGAAACAACAACTACCAAAGAGCAGAATTTTAAAATAATGGTAAATTAATAGTAGATCTGGCTAATTAGCTAGCCAAAAATAATACAAATACGCCAAATATATAACTAAACATTATTGTAAAGAGTAAAATATTAACCAGAAAATGCTTAAAAAACACCAAGCCTGGAAATACAAAGTCAAATTTTAATATAAAGGCTACTGTTTGGCCACAAATATTGTTCGATAGCTAAAATGATTAGGATATGGTTAGCTAGCAGTTAGTATAAAATAGCCACTGGTCAAAACACCAAAAAGAAAAATGATTAGTTAGTCTAATAAATCAGAAAATGTAAAAAGGCTAAAACAAATGCAAAAATGCTAACAGTTAGCCTGGAACGTCATAAATACACCAAATGTATGTAAAAGTTGCTAAAATGCAATACACTCATATGAGAGGTGTGCACACGTAGCCATTAATTACATAAAAGTATTAGCAAAATTGAATTAGCGTTTAGCATCAATAGCTTCTGGTTGGCACAGTGTTATTTTATTTGATTTATTATTTTGAGTTTGATAACCAGCTCATGACAGAGAGGGCGCCAAACCTCTGTAGCATTACATAAGCAGCAGGTCTGCTGCGTGGACCACCGCAGGGTTCCTGTCAAAGAAAGTGGGTTATGGACCTATTAACAAACAGTGTGGCCTCCATCAGTGTGACCCGTGGTCCCGCCGGTGTGTCCTCAGCACTGCAGAGCACTCCCGCCGGTGTGTCCTCAGCACTGCAGCGTTTGGACTCTTTTCCTGCAAACCAAGTCCAAACAATGATCATTAGCTGCGTTGTCTCACTTCATCCTCATCAAACCCTCCGCGGTTGGGAGACGGCGGCCAATCACAGGCCTGCAGCAGTCAGGCGTGCTGTGGCCTGGATGTCCCCGAGCTTGGCCATTCTTCACTCACTCAGAGGACACTGAATTGAGGCCGGGGCTCATGAACAGAGGGTGCTCGTTAGAGCAGAGCAGGGTGACGACTGTGGCGGTGCCACACGCTGGACAGCAGAGCTCTGTCCTTAAAACAATCACTGGAGTCACCCTCTAATTATCCCAGTGGAACTTCATATTCACCGAGAGAGACGGGGGACGGGGGGAAGTGTTGGGAGGGGCTTACTGACCTCAACAAACCTCCACACGAACTCAGCTAACCCTACCCCTCCCCCCCCCCCGCCCACCCCACCCCCCGCCCCGCCCTCCCACCCGCCA